TTATAATGTGTGGGGGGAAATGAGGATGTTGATTAGAACCATGAATTTTTAGGTTTGATAGATCAATAGATAGACAGAGAAAGTGAGCTAGAATGTAGTTTTTATGTTCTGAGTATTTGTGTCCCCCAAAATACATGCTGAACTGCTAGTGCCCAAGGCAGTGGTATTAGTAAATTGGATTTTGGGGAGGTATTTAAGTTATAATGTTAGAACCCTCTTGAATGGGATTAACACCTGTATCAAATAGGTTCCAGGGAGCTCCCTGGCCTCTTTCACCTTGTTATGACACAGAAAGAAGGCACAATAAATCAGGAAGAAGGTCCTTACCAGAAAATGTGATCCTACCAGCACATTGATCTTGGACATCCAGACCCCGAGAAGTAAATTTCTGTTGTTTATAAGCCATCCCGTCTGTGATATTTTGCTAAAACAGCCCAAACAGACTAAGATAACAGTCTGCTTTGAATGTCAGGTGAATGTTTTGGACTTGATTCTATAGGAAATTTTAAGATTTTTGCAGAGGGGAATTCCATCATGAGAATGTTTCAGGAATCCGTATAGGATCAAATCTTACCACACATGTAAGCCTTTAACTAATGAAACATGTAGAAACCCTACCCCCTCCATTATTTTATTCTATGTTCCACTTCATAATTCTTGCATATTTTGATTGGAGCAGCTGAAGTAAAAGCAGTGAAGTGTGGTAATCTTAGATCAAAATGATTACATTTCATCCTGGTTCCACCATTTGTTAACTGACTGATTTTAGCCAAATTATTTAATCTCAATGTTCCTCAATTTCTTTGTTTACATAGTACAGATAGTAATGATACCTATCTCCTAGGGTTGTTATGTAGATTCTAATTCCATACTATTCAGAAAGTTCTTAAAGTTTTACAAGCCTTGGCATATAGTGAGCACTTCATAAAGGTTAACTATCTTTATTATTGTAGTCACTTCTGCCAAGAGTGCATGTAGCTATTTGTGTTTACAAAGTGGTTTGACCCATGTGGTTAAAAATTCACTTTTTTTCAGATGAAAGTCAATATATTGAGAGACGAGACCCTTAGTTGCACACCAAAGATAATGGTATACATCATAAATAATTAAACCTGAAAATATACAGCAGACATTTCACTAAACTAAGCTTAAACTCAGAGACTAGTCAATTTTCATTTTAACTCAGCTGGTTTTTATACATTTGGGTGAATTCGATTGAATTCAACAGTTTTTATGAAGAATTTCTTCTGTGTTCTAACAGTATTTATGAAGCACTGAGATATTCAACACAAATGCAAAGTGCAGACCCAGTTTTCAAAAAATCGCTTCCATTGTAAGCACATATAAAAAATACCATAGGTCAAAATAAATTTTCTCTCATGAAAACCTCTACAACATTTACAGAAATACATCAATCTTATAATACATATGCTATTATTTCCCTCAAATCAGTGATATAAAAGGATCAACTGGGATTTTTTTCTTCTTTACATATGAGGATATGTAATTTCAGCACAATAATTCCACTGTTTCTTTTGTTTAGAATCAAAGTCTAGGGATATTTAGGGCCTAAAATTATCTTAAAGTAAACTTAGTGCATTGATTTTGAGCAAAGTACTAAGGGACATTTCCTCAGTCCATAAGAAAATATTTGTGTAAAAATTACTGTTTAGTTATAATGAAATACAATTGACCCTTGAACAACATGAGTTTGAATAGTATAGATCCACTTATATGAAGATTTTTAAAAATAAATACATTGTAAAATTTCTTGGAGATTTACGTCTGCTTGAAAAAAACCTCACAGACAAACTGCATAGCGTAGAAATATCAAAAAAATAAGAAAATGTAGGTATGTCATGAAAGCATTAAATATATGTACATACCAGTCTATTTTATCATTCACTATCATGAAATATACACAAATCTATTATAAAAAGTTAAAATTTATCAAAACTTACACATAGAAACACAGACAGTAATTGGTGCCATTTCCAGTTGAGATAAATGTAAAAAAAACATAAAAATGCAGAATTAAATCATAAATGCATAAGTTTAACTGTGGTACATACTGTACTACTATAATAAATTTTGTAAACAACTCTTATTGCTATTGTGGTGAGCTCAAGTGTTGTGAGTATCTGCTTAAAACATTATGTGATGCTAATCATTTCCAAATGAACAGTTAATCTCACCAGGACATTGCTTACTGAAGTAAAAAGTGATCTCTTGAAGTTCTTGCATATTTTTCATTGTTTTTAGTGCAGTATTGTAAACCTTGAATAACACCGTGGGACCTTTACAAAGTGCCACTAGTGATGCTGGAAGTGCTCCCAAGCTGCAGAGAAAAGTCATGACATTACAAGACAAAGTTGAATTGCTTGATGTGCACTGTAGAGTGAGGTCTGCAACTGTAGTTGCCCACTATTTCAAAGTAAATGAATCCAGCGTAGAGACCATTGTAAAAATGGAAAAGAAAATTCCTGAAGGCATCGATGCAGCTATACCATCAGGTCCAAAAACCTTGAAAATTTTGCAAAATATCTTTTATCTCATACTGAAAATGCAGCTTTTATGTGGGTGCAGTATTTCTATAAGAAATGCATATCCATAGACTTTAATATGATTTGAGAAAAAGCAAAGACATTATAGGACAATCTAATGTAAAAGGAAAGTAAACGATCTAAATCTGGGTAATTTAATGCCAGCAAAGAATGATTTAATAATTTTAAAAAGAGGTTTGGCTTTAAAAAGTCAACATAATGGGAGAAGCAGCTTCTGCTTAGCAAAAGGTAGCAATTTCCAAGATGTCATCAAGAAAATCAATGAAGAGAAAGGATATATGTCTGAGCAGGGTTTTAATGCAGACAAAAAGGCCCACTTCTGGGAGAAAAAAATGCCACAAAAGACATTTTTTAGTAAAGAAGAGAAATAAGCACCAGGATTTAAGGCAGGAAGGGATAGAGTAAGTCTACTGTTTTTTGTTTTGTTTTGTTTTGTTCAAATGCAGTCAGGTTTATAATCAGGACTGTCATTATGTATAAAGCTGCTAACCCCCAACCTTGAAAGGAAAAGATAAACATCAGGTGTCAGTCTTTTGTTGTACAACAAGAAGGCCTAGACAACAAAAACACTTTTTCTGGATTGATTCCATCAACGCTTTGCCCCTGAAGCCAGGAAGTACATTGCCAGCAAAGAACTGTATTTTAAAGTTCATTTGATATTCAACAATGCTCCTTGTCACCCAGAACCCAATGAGTTCAACACCAAAGCCACTGAAATAGTCTACTTACTCAAAACACAAGGTCTTTAATTCAGCCTCTAGATCAGGGGCCATAAGGACCTTTAAGGCTCATTGCACACCTTACTCCATGTTACTCTATGGAAAGGGTTGTCAATGGTATAGAAGAGAACTCTAGTAGACAGAACACCATGCATGAAAATCTGGAAGGATTACACCATTGAAGATGTTATTGTTGGTATAGAAAAATCCATGCGCATGTACCATCAAGCCTGAAACAATTTCTGGAGAAAACCATGTCCAGGTGTTGTGCAAGACTTCACAGGATTTTCAACAACACTGATTAAGGAAATAATGAAAGAGGTTGTGGAGATGGTGTGGAGATTCCACACCAGAGGAATTAACAACTTGAGAGAAATGAGTGCTTCCAAGCCAGTGCCAGGTGAGGAAAAGGAAGACCAAAAAGTAGCAGTACGAGGAAAAAAATTAACACTAGACAATCTGGGAGAAGAGTTCGATTATTCAAGACTGCTTTTGATTTTTTTCATGCCATTGACCCTCTATAATATCAAATGTCAAAAGGATCAATGTCAAAAGGATGTGTTTACAGAAAACAGATAGAGATCATAGATAGTAATTGAAGGAACACAGAGCTTTGCCTCAGGTCAGGGTCTGGTAGACAGAGTGGTGCCCATGGTCACTGAAATTAAAGTAAATGGTGAGGAAGTATTGGTACTGTACAGAAACATTTTTTTGGCATGTTTTTATTTTATTTTTTTATTTTTTTAAATTTTATTTTAATTTATTTTTTCAAATACATTTGTCTCTGCCTACCCCCCACCACTTTCCCTTGCCCCTTCTTTTCTTCCCTCCCTCAGCTCTTCCCCTTTGGTTTTGTCCATGAGTCCTTGCTATATGTTCCTTGACTTTTGCCTTCCCTTCCTTTTCCCCGCCCCCCTTCCTCCCTCCCTCTTGTCTCTGTTGATTTCTTTTTCTTTCAGTGTTGCTGGTCTTATTTTCCTTGCATCTTTGTATTGTTGGTTAGGTTCCACTTATAGGGGAGATCATATGGTATTTGTCTTTCGCCCCCTGGCTTATTTCACTTAGCATAATGCTCTCCAGTTCCATGCTGTCGTGAAGTTTAGTAGTTCTTTTTTTCTTTCTGCTGCGTAGTATTCCATTGTGTAAATGTACCATAATTTTTTATCCAATCATCTACTGATGGGCATTTAGGTTGCTTCCAACACTTGGCTATTGTCAATTGTGCTGCTATGAACATTGGGGTGCATAGGTTCTTTTGTTTTGGCGTTTTGGTATTGTTAGGGTATAGTCCCAGCAGGGGAATCCCTGGATCAAAAGGCAGTTCCATTTTCAGCTTTTTGAGGAAATTCCGCACTGCTTTCCTCAGTGGATACACCAGTCTGCATTCCCACCAACAGTGGACTAGAGTTCCCTTTTCTCCACAGCCTCGCCAGCACCTGTTGTTTGTTGATCTATTTATGATGGTCATTCTGACCGGTGTGAGGGGTACCTCATGGTGGTTTTGATCTGCATTTCGCTGATGGCTAGAGATGCAGAGCATCCTTTCAAATGCCTCTGGGCTCTCTGTATCTCCTCCTTGGAAAAGCGTCTGCCCAGGTCTTTTGCCCATTTTTTGATTGGATCGTTTGTCTTCTTGGAGTGGAGTTGAGTGAGTTCTTTATATATCTTGGAGATCAAACCTCTATTTGATGTATCATTAGTGAATATATTTTCCCATAAAAATATGGAATGCTTCATGAATTTGCGTGTCATCCTTGCATAGAGGCCATGCTAATCTTCTCTGTGCCGTTCCAATTTTTAGTATATGTGCTGCAGAAGTGAGCACAAAACATTTTTAAATAAATTAAAAACAAAAAAAGACAGAAATTATGATGTATTTCCATAAGGTTACATCAAGTGTGCTGGACTCTCCTGCTTTCCCTTCCACATTCTCCCGCTCTTTTACCTCTGCTACCCCTGAGGCAGCAAGACCAACCCCTCTTCTTCCACTTTCTCCTCAGCCTACTCAGTGTGAAGACGATGAGGATAAAGATGTTTATGATGATCCACTTTCAATTAGTGACTAGTATATAATCATACCATACAATTAATAAAAGTATCTGTTGTGTATGTATATGAGTGTCTTCATGTGAATGTGAATAACTGTAATGCAAGAACTGTGGGAGACCTTTTGTCATCACCCTCCTCCTCATCATCATAGTCACCATCATGTAGAACATCATGTGCAAGACTTGTGTTGAGGTGAATAGCCTATCTTTACAGAAGCATAATGCAAGTGATATTTAATATAAAAATAATAATGTGTTAGTGTTCTTACTGTTTTATAACTTTGCATTCAATGAATTATAGTACCATACAGTATGCTTCTCTCTTGTTATTCAGCAAGACGTGTATCATTATAAGTATTTTTATTAAATGTAACATTTCTAATACTGTATTCTGAATATGAATGTAATACTTAATGCCATAAAATTTTTATAATGATTTACTCATTAGTGTATAGGCTAGGCTACCATGAAGCAATTATATCAATTACACTATGCTACCATAAAGCAATCCTATTGCATCTGCTTCATTATCAATGCATAGTTATACCTGTAAATAAATAAAAATGTATTTCTATACTTGTTTCATTTTTATTTCTAGTGTCGGTAATATACACACATAAAACATTTGCAGTGTTTTGCATCATATAAGACAATATTGATATAGGTACTGAAAGACAATTCATCTTATGAACAGACAATGTAAACTTATGGTATTAATAAGTACAGTACAGTACTGCAATAGTATTTTCTCTTCCTTCTGATTTTCTTAACATTTTCTTTTCTATGGCTTTATTGTAAGAATACAGTATATAAAACATATAAGATACAAAATATGTATTAAATGACTGTATATGTTATTGATAAGGCTTATGGTCAACAGCAGGCTATTTATAGCTAAGTTTTGGGGGAAGTAAAAGTTATATATGGATATTTGACTGTACCAGGGGATGGGCACCCCATCTCTGTGTTGTTCAAGGGTCAATTGTATAATGTTACTTTTGTAGAAGTAAGTGATAACAATGCTTGAAAATATCAATAAGTACATTAATGGTCATTTCTGAAGGGGGGTTACTGTGTCTCATGCAGAGTCCCCCAGGGGGTCGCTGCAGATGGAGGAAAATAAAAGAAGTTGTTCTAGACACTGTTGGTCTGCCAGGAAAAGAGGGTGGTGATTCCCTCTAGTGGAGAATGGCCTGAGCCCTTCTCTTGAAGTGGCTTTTACTGAGAAGCATATGAGCAGGGGTATATAGCTGCAAGCAAAGCTTATCAATCAATGTCAAAAGGATGTGTTTACAGAAAACAGATAGAGATCATAGATAGTAATTGAATGGACATAGAGCTTTGCCTCAGGTCAGGGTCTGGTAGACAGAGTGGAGCACATTTGGCCCTGAAACCTGGGAAACTGATCACATTCTATGCTCAAACCCCAAACCTCAGTACTCATTAACTCAGGGCATTCTTAGCAAAGTAAGTTTTATAGGATTTAATGCATTCCTTTTCCAGGCCTAATTGTCCCCAGGGAACCACCCATCCACATTAGGGCTGTACCTGCCTCTAGTATTGTTTCAAGCCTGAGCCAGGCAGGTGGAGCAGAGCAACCAAGAGATAAGGAGACATTTTTCAGATACAATGAGGACTCCAGCCATGACAAAGCCAAGGGGTGAAGGTCTTTTGCCCCTTCTCTGTGTCTTCCAAGTCTTTCCCTGATGGCCCCCATGCAACTGTGCCTGTCTTAGGTTGCCTGTGCCATCGAGAGGTCTTACCCATCATTGACTAACCAGCCATCCTCCAGGGCAAAGCAGGGAGTTCCGAGGGAGGCAGAAGCTATGCCTCTGCTAGGGGGAAAGGTTTTGTCTCCTCAGTGGCCTATTTTCCCAAAGCCTTCTTGTTCAGCTCCAGCCTTGGGGCCCTCTCACCTATCAGCAGGGCTACAGTCCCTGAAACCAGGCAGGACGGTTCTCAACACATTTTCCCTAGGAATTTTGTCTTAGAAATCATAATAACCATGAGACTGTCTTCTCTGGGATCCCCAATTAAAGAGCAGTAAAAAAAAAAAAAATACATCAAATAAAAATTTTCTTTCCATAGCAACAGATGATCCTGCTATTTGCATCTGAAAAAAATACATTCAATTGTGATATCCTAATTAAGAATGAGACTTAATAATTGTATATATATTGTCTTTCTGGGTCATAGTGACATACTTCAAGTTATAGTGAAATTAAAATTTACTCATGCACACACACACTGGAACATAATCACACATAAATCTTTGTGGGGTTATTTGTTTTTTCTGAAGTTTTAATCCAATCGTTTTTACTTCATGTGCTTTATGTTCATATTATTCATTCTCTTTTCCAGGAATAAGGTCATTAGCCTATTTTTGATCATCAATGACCATGCTACAAAAAAAGGTTAATGTTTGAAGAAGTCTTTGGAAGTTCAGAGATACCATTCTAAAATCTTGATTTATGTTGGTACATATATATTAAGATTACTTCATAAATTCCAACTTATACTTTGTCTTCTTAATAGCGCTTTTAATTTCTTTAGCTATAAACTTCTCCTTACAGTCTTGTCACATAAAGTTTTGTTGACTAGTTATTAGATAAGTAAAAAAAAAAATTATAAGACTTTAAATAATTCACACTGTTGAATTTCAAAAGATTGATGTATTTACTGCAGAATTCCATTTTCTCTCAAATATGCTGATATAGTATTACATCCAAACTTATTTCTCAACTGAAACATTGGCACTATAGTACTGTCAAATTACTACCATGTAAAGAAGTCAATTTTTTAAGATGTATATACACTTTTGGCATAAAATGGGAAACACTTTGACAAATTTCTAAATTTAGTGATGTGTGATAGAAGTAGACTGATTTATGTCAAGTATATGAATTCTATGGTTCTATTCCTGATAAAAAGTCCCCATGTGACCCTGAGTATGCAATTAAACGTGTCTTTGTTTCAATTACTTCATGCAAAGACTGGAGAAAATAATAACTCCCAATCTTTCCCCCAGAATTTTTGTGTTTTAATGAGATGATTGTTATGGAAACACTTTGGAATATTCAGTATACAATTATTTATTAAGCCATTGTAACTTATTAAATACACCTCTTGGTCATTTCTGCTTTGTTTAAAGGCAGAGGTCATGTGTCATGCATTCTTAATAATTCTCAAAAACACTGAGTGTAAGCACCATAACTTGTGCTGAAGTGGTGATTGGTGAAGATTCAGAAACTGGATTTAGCTGGGCATTACTTCATCACTTTTTTCAAAACAAATTTGATTTTGGCCTGAGAATTTGGGAGCAAGAAAATAAAAAAATTCTATTGGTAGAAAGAACATGAAGCAGAGGAAAAATAGGAAGGATGAGAAGTGAATAGCAGGATCTTGGAAAAGATACTCCCTGGAATCTTTACACTTTATAAAATACTTTTTTTACCCATATATACATTTCACCAGGTCTACTTACCACTTTTCACAAAAGCACCATCCCTAGGAAATTATTGTATCAAGTTTCTTGTAATGACAACTACTACTACCAATCAATCTTTAGTGATGAGAGAAGCAATTGTTAGGCTAAATGAAAATAGTGACAGTATGTAACCATTTAACTCTGAATCTGTCAGTTCATTTCAGTTCAGTTACCCTCAACAACATTCATAAATCACTACTCTTGTGGCACATACCATGCTAACTATTAAGAAACCAAACATGAGCAAAACATGTTCCTTACCCTTTAGAAACTTCGAAGAGCTGATCAAGTTAAACCTTGAGTGGAACACATTTCAAGAAACCACAGTAGCAGTAAGAATCAAGAGGGCAAATAGCCACTTTAAAGACCAAAGGCAGTGATATCAATAAAACAAATATATTTGTATAAATGTTTGCCAAATTTCGTATTAAGCAATTATCCTATGGGAACTTAATACTAATAAACAGAAAAGGAATCATCTGTATATCTTAGGCATGGTGCCTTATAAATGACTAATTGTCATGAGCGAGAATGAATAAACTTAGAGAGAAATTCTCCATAGAGATCCCATCAACAAGTCTTTGAGAAAAGAAGTGGTTAGGATAGGAAAAACAACAAAATCAGTTCATTTCATACCATTATTAAACTGAGGCCATATTGACAGTACAGAAGAGTTAATATCAATATTGTCAATCATAAATATTATTAAAATTAAAGACTCTGGAAGGTTTCATGAACATAACTGCTTGATAGCAAGATCATAATTTGTAAGAAAGTGGACATAAAGCACATACTCATAGGAAAGCCAAATGAAATATGAAAGAGAGTAATATAATAATAGATCAGATGTAAAGAGGTGATGCAGAGGGATAAGGCTTCTGCCTGCCAAACTTTAAGAATCATCAGCCAAAATGTCCCCATTGATTCCGCTCTGTGAGTATCCTATTAAAGCTCTGACTGACTTCATTGTGAAAATTCACTTCCTTACATAATTCCACAGCAGTTAAGTCTGCCCATTGTCCAAGCACCTGTGCTCAGATGACTCACCACAGCATGGATTTGTGCACATGTTAATCTATTGGAGAAGAAGTCATATCACTTGTCATGGGAATGGGGCAAGTTACAATGACACTGTGTTTATCAGGAGCAAAATAAAGAAGGGGAGGTGAAGTAATCCAGGGTTTCCAGAAAGCTTATTTTTGTTTCAGTTAGCTAGAGGTATCTTATTTTGGTAATATGCATTTTAAGTGATTTATGTACATGCATGCATGCATACACACACACCTGGGC